GGGTCATAGTGTAGCCTCAGATATGCTGAATCAGAATCATCTAGCTGAGGGTGGCAGAGGCAGCGTTTGAATGCAGACACCTGGGCCCCCCTCTAGACCAGCTAACTGCCATCTCTAGTGATGGAGCCTTGTAATCTTCATTCTTAACAAGATCCTTAGCTGACATCGAAAACCACTGAACCCACTTGCTATAGTAATCATTCAAGAAGCTTCGTTAATAAGCCAAATAATGTCTATAAATCTAAGTGACCAGCACAGAAGCAGCATAGTCCATGCAGCGTACTAGTGGGTATTTCTATCTGAAAGAAGTCTATGGAACAAGAGACACATGGGCTGCTCTAGGAGGATGGTCTCTGAAGCCTTACTGTGTCTGTGGTATCTGACCAACCCACCAATGCCTGCTCCTTAGGGGTCATTATTATAGGAATAATACAGGGTCTGTTACCTCTTGGTGATGTCATGATTAACAGATGTGCTGGGTTTTCTTCCTTTCCTTCCATTACTTGGACAGTCTGTTCAATGAGTGATGTTCTAAGGGCTGATAATCAATCCCTTTTTCTCAATAGTTTTTGTTGTACCTCATCCTATATTGAACCCCTAAAAGATCTCTTTTCAGATTTGTGTTTTTCAGTTATTTGCTTTGCATACACTGCCCTCTCCACCTCTGCTAAATTAAAAACTGTAGCTATGCCAATGAATGCTTAGATGCTTTGATAAATGTACAAAAATCTGCTCCCCACCCCAGAATCATCACAAAACTACTTACAAAGCCAGTATAGGAGACACAGATGTTGGCCACTAAGATTCTCTGAATTGCCATTTTAATAATAGCTTACTTTTGCCAAATGCGGAACCACTGGGGTTTCCAGGCTCAGAGATCGGAGTGCTAGACTTTGGCAAGGGTCTGGACCACCCATGTTGTGTTGTTCAAACTGAGCTGATGACATTTCTATAAAGGTTACCTGAAAAAAGCACTGTGTAGTACCCATGTCAGAAGATGAATGAGACAGTCTGTGCGTTTGCGGAGCTTTTTCAAGTGTTGAACCAGTTGACTGGCCTGGAATAGCAACTTAAACTCTTATCAATAACTATGCTCCTTCATAGTACTGGTATTTTCCCAGGGTGTCAAAATTTAACCTGCTGTCAAAGCAAACAGAACACCGAGCTCCAACATGAACACATAACCCTGATTTTCTCAAAAAGAAAAGCAACACAACAACCATATTTATTTAGTTTAACATTTCCCCTGATCTAAAGAGAAAGATGTCAAAAGAAAACCTAGGACATATACATAAGCCCCGCTGAGCCCAGGTAACCTAAAAAAAAAAAAATAAGGGCAAAGTTCTGTTCAACAGATGAATTTATCTTCGCTTCTGGAAGATGTTTCCGCGTCCCATTCCACGTCCTCTTCCTCTCGCGGCCACTGGAAGGTGGGGAAAAGAAAGGACGAAGCCAGGTTAGTGTGCTCAGTGAGGACTCATGCCACAAGGCAGCTGAAGCCCTGGGACATCAACATGGGAAAGGGCCTGAAAGGCCACCTGGGGAAAATGGAGCCCCAGAGAGGGGCAAGGACTGGTGCCTGCCATCAGAGCTGGAGCGGACACCAGACTCCTGCCTTCCAGCCAGCACCACTTTCTACATGAGGCTTGTAAGCAGGGCGCCGAGAGTGAAGGTGGTTTGGGGTGCGAGTCTGAGAACCATAGAAAAGATACATTCCCAGAGCTGGCTTAGGGCAAGTTAATAAAACATGACAGATGCATTTAATTCACACTTAAAATTATGAAACAAAGACAGTTAAATGTTAACATCTGTTCAATCTGGGTGAGGTACTTTATTACTTTTTTGAGAGATTCTGCATGTATGAAATGTTACATAACAGCAAAACAAAAAACAAACTAACACAAAAAGCAAACCCACTCTTAATACAAACAGTATGACAAGACTGCTGTTCTCTGTAACCCATGGGATCTAGGAGGGGACCAGGGGCTTTGAAGAACAGGAGAAAATATTCTGATAGCTACTAACTGGAGCCTCACTCTCTCGCCTCTTACACAGTCTGGAGCTGCCCTGAAGAAGGGATGTCACCTAAGAACCCAGCCACATGCTGATGGGACCAGAGCAAGGAGCTGGGAAAGGCACAGATGGCTCAGGCAGAAGCCACTGAGCCTGGGCAAACTCACTGCCAAGTACCTTCTAATGCACAGCCACTGAGTTTCACCTTTTGCTAGAGAAGAATGTACAGTTACAATGACAGGAAGGACAGCTCTTCCCTGAGAAAGCAGAGAGTAGCAATTCCATCAAAAAAGCTGGCATTTCTGAAATCATTCCTTCTCTAGGACAAAAGGTCCAGAGCTTCTGGTTCCACCTCCTCACAACTCCCTCTTGTCTAGGAAGGGAAAGGAGATTCCCTGATCAGTTTTTTGGGAAGGCATTTTACTATTATTTAAAATTTTATTTATTTATTTATTATTATTTAAGCCTGATCTTCCTAGGTGGTCTCCCATCCAAGTACTAACCAAGCCCGACCCTGCTTAGCTTCCGAGATCAGACATCGGGCTTGTTCAGGGTGGCATGGCCGTAGACCATGGACTGTGGCTCCACTGGGGAACAAATCCAGGACCTTCTGCGTATAAAGTAGACACACTAACCGCTACACTATGGAACCATGTCCATGGGAAGGTATTTTAAAGGATTACTCTATTGCATCTTTAAACTCAAAAAGTTACCTCACATATAAAAAAATATGTATAGCAGCTAAAAATTGTGATGGACAATCCGGTGATTTTCCTGCACTGTCTTGTTTGTTTTAAACCAATGTTAAGACAGATTCTAACGACTGCACTTGCTTTCTGAGCTAATCAATATGGCAGAACTTTCCATGGGCCCAAATAAAACCTCTGATTAGGCTAACACAGAAGAAAGGTCAAACTAAGTCATTGGGAAAAGGCTAACCTCATTTTTAGAATATACTAAAGGAAAGATTTATTTTTAAATATAGGAAGCTTTGGAGATAGAAGTCTGGCCACTTTAATGGGTAAAGATGGCCTAAAACTGCTCACTTCTTATCTGAAAATGGATCCCCACCATTAGCATTTCCCCGTTAATGGTGAGAGCCAACACATATCCCCAGGCTATCTGGGAACTACTGCCCCACTGCTTTAGAAGTCAAGCTAACCCACACGGTGGTGCCCTGCTCAGCAAGCTAAACAAGAGCAAGCTTCCCCAGGCCTTTTGGACATCCTCTGAGAGATGAAATTTACCTACTTTTAAGTTTAAGACAGGAGTCTCTTCTTCTAAGGAGCTACCATGGATTTTGCAGAAGCCTTATAAATGCAATGGGGTGAGGCAAGAGACAGCAGGACAAGGCCCTCAGCCCCTCACAGATGGAAGCCCCGAGACTCCAGGGAAAAGGGGTGGCAGTGGGTGTAGTAATGGCCGGGGTCAGGTCCACCCCATCCCTAGGCAATAATAGGGCCCTTTTCTAAAAGATACACGACAGCCCCGTATGTTAAAACCCATGTACGAGGAACACCTACCTTGGGCCTTCAGAATAGCAGCTTTCCCTCGACCAGCCCCTGAGCCTTGGTTTTTGTTTTTCATGCTCTTCAACATGGGTGCATTTTTCAGCATGTCAGGCAAAATCAAAAAGCGGATCTTGCTGCCACGGATGTATACCTGCTCCAGCTGTGCCACTCGGCCGTCTCTGTATGTGACAGTGATGTTGGACATCTGGAAAGGAATCACCACCAGCTCATCAGTAAGGGCCAACAGGGTTAGTGGAGCAAAGGGGCACAGAGAGAGGGTCTTGGCTGCTGGGAGGGAAGTCCAGAAATGCAGAAACTAAAGTCAGGAAATAAAAGAGCCACCAGGCAAAGCCAGGGAATGCAAGTACCTATTACGGGCACCAGGGACTATGCTAAGCACTGTACATATATGGTCCTCACTGGACCCCTAGGGTGGTATGAGATTTCCTTTCTTTAAAAATTTATTTTTATTATATTTTTTACGCCTACAGCACCTGGTCTTCCTAGGTGGTCTCCCATCCAAGTACTAACCAGGCCCGTCCCTGCTTAGCTTCTGGGATCAGACGGGATTGGGCTTGTTCAGGGTGGCATGGCCGTAGACAGCTTTCCCATTTTAAAATCTTTTTTATCTTTTTAAAGATAAAAAAGTCTATAGCCATGCCACCCTGATCCCAGAGCTCTCACTGCTTCCCCTGCCAACATGTGAGGCTCTCAGCGGTGATAAACTCTAATTAAAACCGCTTTTAACTGCCTATCCAAACTGTGTCCTCTCCTGCATTTGCCCAGCACAAAGACTTCAAAGGTACAATGAAGGTCATGAGCATGCACCAGATGTGGTTCCGATTCTCCTGGAGTGTACCCTAGAAGAGCCCCTCTGGCTTGGGTGACTAGGGACTGAAAAGTGGAGGTGGCAGTGCCTGTACGAAGGGCCTGGAATATTGGAGCAGTGTGAGACAAGAGCTAGCACAGAGAGACAGGACACTCAGGCAGGAACCTACTGGATGCAAGGACTAGAGCAATGGATTGGGATGGAGGAAAGAGTTGTCACCTTAGAGACGACTGCAGGGAGGGAGGTCACGCAAGTTCGTGGACAGAGGAAAGGAGGATAGGGTTAAGGCAGCACTTTGGAGAGATGAATAAGCCAATATGGATAAACTGTGAAACAGAGGTGGGGAGCCAAGAAGTCAAACCAGCCAGGAGACTGGCTTGGTGTGGGAAGGTGACGCAAACCTGCCAGTGCCAATTTCAACAGGTACCATATTTATCAGAAAAAGTAGCTTATTCTATGAGTCTTCTGGAGGGAAGAGAATTACAGTTTATTCAGAATGGGTCAGGCCCACATTGCAGAGAGGTGTGCTGTTTCCCCAGATCTCAGACTGGCTTGTTGCCATCTTATACTCACTCACTCCTTTCTTCAAGTGCTGACTGACCATTCAGCCTCTGCTTGAACACCCAGAGTAGGAAAAAACTAACACTCTAGGGCTGCCCCAACCATTATGTGAGTTCAAATAGTTTCGAGAGCTTCAACCCACTGGTCCCTCAGGGGCGACAAGGCTCGAGTTACCTTCTCCAACCCCAACACCCCCAGTTTCTTAGCAAATTTTCACACTGTTTCTAAATCCTTGCCATCCTGTTCTTGCCTTGAAGAACTTCGTAGAACCTCTGCTGCCACAAATGAACACCAGATATGGTTATATTATCGAGAGAAAAACGTAGGTCTGACCCACACTAGGTCAGGCTCACAATACCAGACAAACCTGTGACTCCACAGAGGACCGAACAGGCCTGGGAACATATCTGAAGCCCAGCCCTGCCATCGGTCAGGAGCATAACCCTGGTTAAGGCTCTTGGCTCCCCTGAGCCTCAGTTCCCTAACTTACAAAGTGAGGAAAAACAGAACATAACAAAGCCAATGTTCGCTGAACACTTGCTAGTGTCCCAGGTGATTTCACACAGCAACTAATTTTATGTCACACAATCTATTGAGATAGATACTATCACCATCCCTGCTAGAGATGAACCAGCACAGGCCATCAGAGGCAGATCTGTCCTCAGAAGCCACACCCTTACCCACTCCATTCTCCTGCCCAAGGTCACACTGTCCTGTATGGCCTGGCTGGGGTTTGAACCCAGACCTATCTGACAAAACTCACACTCTTATCCATACACCGGACCACCACATACTTCCTACAATTATTAAGCAAATTATATGGGACAAATACGTCTATATGTTGTCCTATTGCTTAGTACATAATAGAACCTCATTAAATAGTGAATCAAAATGATAGTTAAAATGTCTATTTTAGAGTCTATGCTGATGCCAAGTCACTTCTCCAGCACATTTTAGTACATCTCATTCCTTCTTGTCATAATCTCCCCAATCCGCTTTGAGAATCCCTGACAGAGGTTGTTATGCAAAATCAACAAGATGTAAACTAAGTGTTTTCACAAATGGCAAGTGTCCTGGCTGAAGCAGGAAAGAGTCCAGCATCATCTGACTCATATTCCAACCCTAAGAACCAGGTCGGCTATTACTCTCGTGTTCTCTCTGCCGTACCATTTGAGAAATGACTGCTGTGTACAAAGCCCCACAGTCCCATTGCCCATCCACCCACACAGCTTGTTAAGTAACTCTGAGCTGGGTTCCCATAAGCCAAAGGCAGTAATTTGAGTGAACTAGGTTTTAATGAAAGTCAGGCAGAAATATCCAGTTTACTCAACTTTCCCAAATAACCACAATAAAACACAGATGGCATAAGCCAGGTGCCCAACTTAAATGACATCTTGATGGAGAGATCTTAGTACAGTACTCTCCATGGTTACCCACAGTCTGAAAATATTAAAAGGAAAATTCCAGAAATAAAGAATTCATAAGTTTTAATTTGCACACCATTCTGAGTAGTGTGATGAAATCTCATGACATTCCGCTCCATCCCACCCAGGACAGGAACCATCCCTTTGTCCATCCTCCCCACAGTGTATACACTACTCACCTGTTAGCCACTTAGTAGCCATCTCGGTTATCAGATCAACTGTTCTGGTATTCAAGTAACCCTTATTTTACTTAATAATGCTCCCAAAGCCATTCATTTACCTTTTATTATAGTATAGATATAATTGTTCTATTTTATTATTGTTGTTAATCTTTCACTGTGCCTAATTTATAACTAAACTTTATCACAGGTATGTATGTATAGGAAAAAACATGATACACACAAAGTTTGATACTATTCTTGGTTACAAGCACCCACTACGGGGTCTTGGAACGTATCCCCTTGGATAAGAGGGGCCTACTATATAGGAATTTCCTCATACCTGGGGCTAAGACAGCGCTAGCTCCAGGGCTGTAAAGCAATGTTAAGGTGCCTCGGGGTCATCAATCACAGCATTCCTGTTGTGGGGCACACAGCAGGCTCTCTGCCCTACCACTGATAGTAGAGCCTCTTTTCTACTCATTTTCCTGCTTGAAATCTGACAGTCACAGTTGAGGGTTTGAAATATTCAGAGGCAACAGGATCTAACAAGTTTACTCTATGCCTCATCTTTAGAGACTATGGTTAAGATCACAGACTAGGGTTTAGATCCGCTCCTTCCATGTCTGGTCACCCTGGGCATCTGGAAGCGTGTCCTCAGAGAGGTCCCTGTGATGACTGAAGGATCTACTGTATGTAAAACTAGCAGAGTGCCTAGCACAGAATAAGCATACAGTGAATGGAAGCTTCTGGTACTATTAAGCACATAGCCTTTCAGAGACAGGTCCTAGCTTGACAAGTTAAACTATGACAAAATATTTAATAGTGCCCAGATCTTGGTTTTTAAATTCTATTCCCAATCTAAAAAAACCCAAGGCTCCTTGAAGATTTAAACGGCTGATTCCAGAGCTGGGTTAGGGAAGGTGGGCCTGACACAAACACCTTGTGCCAAAAGGTAAGGCTGTGCTCTCCTAAAATGACCAGGACATACCAAAAAGACATAGGAATCAGCTTGAGGGGCCTCTTACTGGTCAAATCAGGGATAACGTGAACATCAAAATAATGAGAGTGACAGACATAACCTAATAAAATAGAAACCCAAAGCCCACACTGATAATAAATGAATAAATGGGAAATAAAGAAAGGCTCTTCCATACAGCAGACCTAATAAATACAGAAAGAATGACGGAGTTTTTTTTTTTTTAAATCATTCTTTACTATCATCATAGTAAAAAGATTCAAAAAAGAATCTTCCCTGGATGCTAAATGAGGTGGGAGTGTGTATGTGTGCACATGTGTGCACGCTAATGAGAAATAGTATACTCACAAGATATTTACTTAAAAAATCTCCCTGCAAAATTCTCTTTAGTTACAAAAGTCAAAAGAATATACAGTGAAAAGACCACATGATATCTTAACCAAATAATCAAGGTTAACAAAATCAATAAGGGAAAAAGGCGTTTTTGAGCCTTTGGGTGTGATACCACGAGGAAATAAAATCACTCACACAGTCACAACCAAAAGCATAACCCGAATCTAATCATGTGGAAACACCAGAGAAACCCCGATCAAGGGACATTCTAAAAAAAAAATAACTGGCTCTATTTTTCAAAAACATCAGTGGTGCGAAAAGCAAAAGTGGAGGAACCAAGACTATAGAAGCGTAAAGTGAGCTGACAACGAAGCGAAGTGCTGCAGATATAACGACATTGTCATAAAGAACGATATTGGGACACTTGCAGAAACTGGAATATGGACCGCAGGCTAAAGTACTGATTCAATGATGAAGTTCCTGATTTAATAACTATACTGTGGACACAATAGGAAATTATAATGTTATTAAGAAATATACGCAAAAGTATTATGCAATAAAGGAGTATGATGAATGTAATCCACTCTCAAATAGTTCGGAAAAAAATATATAGATAGACTTCTAGGAATTATTCTCTTCTTCTTCTTTTTTTTTTTTGCAACCCTTGGTTGACTTTACAGGTTGCAAGAACCTTGCCATCTTACAATCCCTTATTTATTTATTTAAAAAAATTTTTTATGCCTACAGCACCTGGTCTTCCTAGGTGGTCTCTCATCCAAGTACTAACCAGGCCCGTCCCTGCTTAGCTTCTGAGATCAGACGAGACTGGGCTTGTTCAGGGTAGCATGGCCGTAGACTAGGAATTACCCTCTTCTTTACAAATAATATTTACTGTGCTTTATGGTCATAAACTTAACCGATGCTTGTCATTTTCAAAATGAGAAAAAAATTTTAAAATACTTCTAATCACATATAATTTCCACTAAAAGGTAACTACTCACTTTGGTTTTATTTTTAGAAAACTGGGAACATATCGTGGAGCTTAAAAAATTTCCCCCCACTATGTCAACAGCAGTTTCCCATAACATTAAATACTCTCCAAGGCTATTTTATTGGATAAATAATATTCTTTGCAATATACTGTTTATGACAATTTACTTAAGCTCATTAGAAATGTTAGTTGTTTTCATTAATAAAAACAGAACTGCAATGGCTATCTTCACATATAAACCTCTGCCCACAATTTTGGATGTTTCTAGAGGTACAACTATGGCATCAAAGGGCATGAACTCTTTTACACTGACATAGGTTAAATGTGTTTCAAGAAAGGGTGAAACAATTCACACTTATGGCAGAGTAGCAAGGAACCCTTGGTAGCATTATTTTCTTTTGCCAATTTGCAAGTTTTAACATTCTTACTGTTTTCTAATATGCATGTCTGATTAATAAGGTCATTATTTTTTGCATGTTAAATATCCACTTATATATTTTTCCGTGAATTATCCACTTTATGATTTGTATCCATTTAATCGAAAAATTAAATTTCCGTCATAAAAAAAATTATGAGATGTCCTCAATGTTTGAATGCTGACTACAGGTGGGCTAGGACAGCACTTGTAGCGGTCATTAAGACTCTCCATAAGAACTTCTGGGGACCCCTCACACTGGACACCTAATAAAATCCACAGCCAAATTTCCCCCAAAAGTTACATAAGTCTAGAAAATTAAAATTATGTAGCTTATTTCTACTCATTATTCCTCACCTTAAAGCTCCTTTTATGATTTTTAATATTTTACCAAGTATCTGACAAGGATTCTTTCTTAAAAAAAAATTTTTTTTTCCTGATACTGAAGAATCCCTTGGTTCCCTCCTTGACTTTTAATAAAGACAGGATGCTTCAAGCCCATGGTGCATACACATAACCAAGAACAGAAACTTCCCCGTTTAGGAGTCTCCGGTTCTGTCATCCATACGCAAGCTGGTCAAGAGATGGGATAAACTCCATCTGGTCCCATCTCTGCTACAAACAAAAATCAACTAAAGAGGCCTTTGTGGAGAGTCAGAGAGGTCTTGCTTACCCTAAGCACAACAGGGCCCTCAGTAGAAGCTCAGAGCAGTACGTGTGGGGCACCGTCATCTATAGTTGATGCCACATACCACAGCACTGGTCGCTTTGTAGCTGTGGGGTGCGGGGAGTGGGAGAGCAAGGCTCTCTGCCTTCCTAGCCAAACCTCAGATGCACAAAAGCACCTACACCCTCTGACTCAATGAGCACCGCATCAAGAACCTCATCCTAGGTTTAGTGCATGCATACATTACATTTTCAAATGCCAAAAAAAGGCTATAAGGAGCTGCAGTAAAAATCCCCAAGGAACCAAAAAAAAGGCATGTTTTGTATGGAGATGTTGAGCACATTATCTAATAAGGCTATAGCTCCATTAGGGCTCAGGAAAAAATGTCTCCCATATCTGAGTGCCTGGGAAAACTGCACAACTGGTATTTTATCTTAAGGACACTTGCACCTCAGAACTGATGATTTCCCTCTGCCTGGCCTCCAGGAAGCTTAGAACTGAATGTTCTAAGCTTACAATTGAATGTACCTTTATTAAATGTACAGGGATTCAAGTTTACGTTTCTGGGTACTGAATGCCTGGCTTCATTTTGCCATCTACCCCAGCTTACCTGCACCTTGACCTGTCTAGTTTGATCCTACCATATACATTTTTCGTAACCCACTTTATACTCTTTGAAAGAGGACAGAGCAAAAATTAAATACTAAAAAAACCCAAAACACATTCCTAGGGGGAAAAGTCCATGAGAATCGTGGTCTCTCATTTGTTTTCCCAATCTTTGTGGTGTGACCCATCCCACTTTTGTATTAGAAAATGTTGTTAAACCCAACATCAAATGGGAAACACTAAACTCCAGCTGTCGTCTAGCACAGAACAAGCAGAGAAAGTGCTAGGAGGATGCTCTCATTCCCAAAGCTACTAACTGGGGCCAGGAAGGAAGGAGAGCAGTGGGCACTGTGAGAGCCATTGGCCTCCCCATCCCTGGGATGGTGAGTAAACCACACTGTGTTCACTGCTGCTAGGTTCAGCTCTGCCACAGCCTGCTGGGTTTTTTTAATTCAATGTGCCAAGTTTAGGTAGACCCAGCAAAGACTTACATCTTGGGAATGGGCAGTGTTACGGGACGAACTGTGCCCCACTCCCACGTTCTTAGGTTGAAGTCCTTTATTTTTATTTATTTATTTATCTTACACCTACAGCACCTGGCCTTCCTAGGTGGTCTCCCACCCAAGTACTAACCAGGCCAGACCCTACTTAGCTTCTGAGATCAGACGGGATCGGGCATGTTCAGGGTAGCATGGCCACAGACTTAGGTTGAAGTCTTAACCCCCCACCCCGACCCCGCACTAGTACCTCAGAAGGTGACTGTATTTAGAGACTGGATCTTTACAGAGGTAACTGGGCCCTAATCCAATATGACTTGCATCCTTATGAGATTAGCATACAGGCACACACAAAGGGAAGACCATGTGAAGACAAAGGAAGAAGCTAGCTATCTATAAGCTTTCCTTCATGGCTTTCAGAAGAACCAAAACACATTCCTAGGGGTTAAAGTCCATGACATTGTGGTCCATGACACCTTGAGCTCAGCCTCCTAGCCTCCAAAACCTTGAGAGAATAAATTTCTGTTATTTAGGTCACTCAGTGTGGAACTTTGTTACGGCAGCCCTAGCAGATTAATACAGGCAGTAGGCAGGTGGCTGGCTTCCACCATATGACAAGCATTCACTTATTTATTCCGCACTATGGCTCCAAGGCTGAGGTGTTAGTTTCATCCCTGATTTAGAAAGGAGGAAAGAGAGGGTGAGGAAAGGCCAAAGCTTGCTCCAAGTCATACTAGGTGGCAGGCTGCAACCCGATTCCAGATCCATCTATTACCAGGGTCTGTGTGCTTTATCCCACACTGGTTGCATCTGAGAGACCACCGATATTATCTGGTCAGTCATCTTCATTACATTACAAACAGATGAACAATCTGAAGCCCTGAAGCCCAGTAAGCTGTCTAAACTCCAAACCCCAGTCTTGCATTCTACTCACTAAACTAAAGTTCAAAACAGATGAAAATGCCTTAGGTCAAAGGACAGAATCTATAACAGTGGTATCCCACAAAGGCAAAGGAGGCCAGGCATCACAAGACCTTTAGAGAGCCCACGCCACCCATCTTGACAGCATCAACACTGAGGAGAAAAACCTGTGGTCACCAGATACCTATCTCCCTGAATGCCAGGGAACTGCCCCAGCTGGTCAACCTGGCATGAAAATGATGCTCAAAGCTACAGAGAAATCACAAACAAATGAATGACCGTAGGAAGCAATGGATAGTTAGGACACCTGATCCACAGAGTGACCTTGGGTAAGTCACTTTATCTTATGACCTTCAGTTTTCTCAGCTGGGAAATATTAACAGGTACCATATGTTGGATTTATAATGTGCAAGGTGCTGAGCTAGCTGTTGCTCACACATAACATGATCTTTATGACACATTGAAGTGTAGGTGTTATCCCTGTGGCAGTCTTTAGAGTGCCCTGCTGAGTTCTCCCTTCAAGGGACAACAGGCTGTGAGGGATGCAGGGAGCTTACAGCCTCCGGCTGCCACCTTTGAGATCCACTACGGCATTCACCCTGAGGCCACTCTCTCCCCAGGCTGCCAGCCAATGACTGACCACAGTGGAGGTACCAGAGCCTAGCCATTTCTGCCCCATGCTAAACTCTTCAGTCTTGGCATCTACACCACAGAGGACCCAAAATAATATCATCCCCATTTTACAGACAAGGAAACTGAGGTCATTAAGATGCCTACGGTTATTCAATCAGGATTCAAACCAACATCTGATTCCAAAGCCAATGGTTTAAAGAACCAATGGTTTAAAGAAGTGTGCTGATATATTTTATACTGTTCCATAAAATGTTATATAAATTCACATGATTATTGGTAAAAGGCAAAGTAGTGCCACGGGAAGAGCACCATATCGGGAAGCTGCTCCAACATTTATTATTAGTAAGGTCACATTCAGTTAATCAGTACTTTAATCTTATTCTACCTATTTTATAGATGACAAAACTCTCACCAAACTCACCTCAAAAGGCAGTTGCTATAATCAAATAAAACTACCCCCTCGCCCCAAGAAAATTGGCAAATAAACAAAGTATGTGAGTGAAAGATTCTGCTAACTGCAAAGCATTATGCGAACATGTGGAGGCAAATGGAAAATCCCAACAAAGGGAGTGCTGCCACGTCTCCTGAACAGGTCTCCCAAATAAGGGAGAAAACGGTTATAGAATGAAAAAAAGGACAAAGTTAAATATTACAAACTTCTGAATGGGCTTTTATTCATGCTCATATCCCCATACCTAGCCTATACTAGTCTCCTGGTACATATCAGGCATTCGATAAATAACTGTTCAATAAGAACTTCAAAAACCTCCAATCACCATCTTTCTGCTTTCCAGAACAGAGGCATGAGCTTTCCCCAGTCTCACGTGCAAAGCAGGATACCTGGCAGTTCATGTTGTCCTCTGCCTCAATGAGCTTCCCACGATATACCTCACCGGTGTTTGTCTCACATGTCACAATGTGACCCTCTGCCTCATGTAGGACTTTAATCGGCACACCAATAGACATCTTGGCAGGAAGAGAGTTCTACAGTGAGAGAGACAACAGTTAGTTGATATTTCAGAGCCTGAGAAGGCATGTTGCAAACACACCAGGCCTACCTTAAAACCTGACACTCCAGAATACTTTGGAAAAAGGTCAAAACTGCATTTTCTACAGAAAAAAAAAAAGGAGCTTAACTCCTAGCATGAGGTACCTATCTGACAAATACATGCAGCTGTGGGAAAGAATGGGGGGCCTGGATAGAGAGAAATCTAATGGGAATAAAAAGTACCTCCACCCCCCTCTCTGCTACCATATGTCCCTTTTATCTTCATCAAATAACCATCAATCAATTCTGTGTTTTGCGGGCAAGGGGGTTGGACTTCTTGTTCCTTACAATGTATTTGGAACCCATGGTTTGAGAACTCATGATATAAACCTGAGCTCTCCTATGCAGCCACCACTGTTCATATGTAGCTATTCAAACTTAATTAAAACAAAATAAAATTACAAATTCAGTCCTTCACTAGCCACATTTCAAGTGTTCAACAGCTACATGTGGCTAGTATTACGCATATATGCGTACAACGTTAAACAGTACAGATATAGGCCAAAGGATCTAGACAAATCTAGAAGAGGCTGTGCATTTAATTTATCCATTCAATGTCTTTTGACTCTCCACTTCATCAAGGCTAAAGAGAAAATATCAAAGTATTCAAAAATTGACAATGTGCTATAAGCAGGAAATGCTTATCTTAGAGGAAAAACAATCAGGGCAAGTGCTTAGCTTGATCTAATTAAAAGAAACAAGTGGTAGATTTTTTTATTCCGAAATGAGCAAGGACTGAAGGCTGCAACGCATCATGGGTGTTCAAGAAAGGAAAGAGAACGCGAGTTTGGGAAAGACAGACTCTCTTGGTGAAGAGCCTTAGGAGTTTGGATTTTAGGCTTAAGACAGTAGGGAACTACTGCAAGATTACAGATAAGGAATGATCCAATTAAAAGGCTGCAGCACTTACAAAATGGATCAATTCAGAAACAGGGACATTTTTGACAAAACTTCTGTAACTGTGGAAAGCATGGGGGAACCAGTACCTGAAAAGGGAATGGAGACAATCAGCCATAAATTATTTCAAGACTCTGCCTGCATACTTCGAAAAACAATGACCCAGAGAGGTATAGAAAGTGAACAGCATGTACCTTGGGGAAAAACTAGTGAACTCACTTCCAGGCACTGGTGTGGCGATGCCGATGTTTGGATGGCCCCAACTTCCTGCTCTTCTCCCTCCCAGATCCCCAGAGCTCCACGGCGATGAAGCCTCTCCAGGCCCCAGGCCCTCCCAGGTGTCTTGGACCACCCTCGCCTGCCCACAACGTCTCCTCACCGGCTCTGGCCTCCTCTTCCTTTCCCGTGCGGCAGCGGTGACTCAGGTTACCGCGAAGGCGTGAGGCGATCGAATGGCGGGTCCCGCGCTCCCAGAATGCCTTGCGTTCCCAAAATGCCGCGCGTAGAGCCCGCCCCCTTAATTTCCCTTGGGGTGAGCTTCGTCTCGCCTCCGCTTCCTCCTCACCCTGCCGGCTGGGAAACGTAGGCTCTGATACGAGAGTTCCGGCCCCGGAAGAGAGGGCTGATGCTCAGGTGCCGCCGGAAATACCGATCCTCAGGCTGGCAAGGGGATGGGGGACTCCAGTTTCCAAGCATCCCATATCAGGGACTGGCTGGACCGAACATCAGGGATCTGGGGTCTGGACCCTCGGATCGGGGGTGGCAGGCGGTGAGGCCGAAGACTAGGACCTCCCTTCACAATTTAACTGTTGGAACCCGGCACCGACAGGTAAGGGCGCCTTGAACGAGGAGAGGTATTTTACTATACGGATAGGACAACTGAGTATAGAGTAGAAGGGTCATCCCTCAAGGGATTCGAAGTAGGGTTAGGTCTCCCGGAACTCAGTGGTGCATGTAGCAGGGCTGGGCCGTGGACCTGAGGCTGACAAAGTGGAGCTGGGCAAGAGGCGGAGCTTGCTCAGGAGAAGAGCCTCTGGGGAACCAATGTTCGCGGAACGCCAGGGCTTCGGGGCGGGGCTCAGGGAGAGAGGCGTGGCTCCAAGGGAACCGAGGCGGAGAAGGGCCAGCACGTCTGCGCAGGGGCTGGGAAAGGGGCGGGGTCACTAGAAGCCGTGATCAGGAGGCCGGGGAGCCTCTAGGAATAGGCGTCTGGGGAAGGGAAAGGGAGGAGCCTCTTCGAAGGCCCAGGAAAGGGGAGGGGCTTATGGAGGGGAGGGGCGGGGTCCAGGAATCTGAGGCCTGGGAGGGCCGGGGCGGGGCTTAGAGTGGCCCTGCCGCCACCTCCACTTCTCCCCACTGGGCTGGCGGTGGAGGTGGCGGCGGAGGATCCCGACACATACCGGTCCCACCCCCGCCCTAGCTGAAGCCGAAGCTGCAGCCGGCACCAGGCCGGGGCCATGGGCGCCCCGCGCCGCCCGGGTCATGAGGACGGAGGCGGAGGCAGCGGGGCCGCAGCTCGAGCCCGGTTAGTGCCTCCCTGAGGGCCCAGCCTTCATCCCGGAGATCTAGGGGGACCACGCCATAGCGCCGGGCAGGGTCCAGGCACGCGACCTTGGGCCGACCGCCGCTTCCGGCGGGACTGTAGAGCTTCGGGCGAAACCTGGCCAGGTGTACATAGCCTCATTGCTCCCCTAACCCCCAGCCTCGGTCACTTGGGGTTTCCTGATACTCCCAGGTCTGGGACCCCAGTCAGCTCCGATAGGGGTCATGGTGAGAGGGTCCCGAGTTGTGAGGCAGGGACGCCACCTTCACCAGAACCGATAAGTCCTGCTGGAGCCGCCTTGGGAGATCCTGGCCCCTGGGGGGACCGAGGCCTAGAAGCGCAAGTAACTGCTGAGAGCACAGGGTAACAGGAGGGCCCTTCCCCTGACCTCCCAGACTCAGTGCTTTGTCTTGTATAGTACTTAACCCTCTGGTTTCTTCTGCCCGGAGGTGGCCTCAGTTCCTTCGGGGCGGAAACCAATACTGACTGACATTCAGTGTCGTCCTCAGTTTGCTTCTTAAAGTGAGGGAGGGGGGAAAGTAGTGATTTCTGCTCTGCTTAAGGTACACGGTTGATGAAAAAGAGAAAGTGTTAACACTAGTAAACTCTGAAGTGAGGTGCCAACTCATGGGAGAGGTCAAGAGCATGTGGGACAGTGACACTAAGGCGTGAGTGGGATGGTGGTGTCACATCCAGGGAGTGGTCTCATTTGTTTATGCAGCAAGGAGTAGGGTCTGATTCTATCCTGGGATTCACATTCTACTCCTCCAACTCGTGATCTTGGACCAGGCTCTTCCCTTTCCTGAGTCTCCGTGGAGTAATGGCTCACCTTAATAGGGAGCTTTCTCTGAGCAGGCGCTTTGCTAAGTTGTTTACATGCAGTACCTCATTAATCCTCATAACCAGTAAAGTAGGTTGTCATTGTTATTTTCACTTTTATAGATGAGCTGACTAAGGCTGAGAGGGGTTAAGTATCCAGGGCCAGTGAGCTGCCTTCCTTCCTTGGTGACAGCTGCCAACTGAAGCCAACAGGGGCGTTCTAGGCAGACTCTAGCTTTCAGGTAGGACAACCCCTTTGCTCCTGGCATCAACAGCTGGCAGCAGCTTTGGGCTTGGAACGCCTCGCCTATCCTTATCATCCCCCACAGGAGTATCTCTGGGTCCTTATGGGTTGACTTGCTGGTGCCTAGGCTGGGGACAGCCACGTGGGGGATGTTTAACCCTTTGGGGACTCAGGATCAAGGGGTTCCAAGAATCAGGGCAAGATGAGAAGGGGCAGCGGAGTTCAGAGCAGCTGTTCTGTGCCACATTTATAGCTGGGCATAGGGGAAAGCACAGACAGACTCAAAGTCTGGCCAAATATGGCCCAGCTAGTTGGTACCAGAGTCCAGGCCACAAAGTAAGGAGGGAGCCGTGAACAGAAGGCCGTAGTCTGGAAGCCTGGGGTTGGGGGTGCTGGGCATTGTAGATAGGCCCCTGGCATTTCAAGGGATGAGGCCTTTGGGGAAAAATACCTTCCAATCCCAAAGCATGTTTGAGTGCCAGGACCTGGCACATAGTGGGTGCTTAATAAGTTCATTTCTTCCAACAAATGTTGAGTTACTACTAAGCATCAGACACCAGGCACTGGGAATAGCAGTGAACAAGATTAGCAAATTTGCTGCCCTCAGGAAGCTTACAGTCTAGTAGGGGACAGAGTAGCTTTATTTATTTATTTATTTAGATAGTTAGTTAGTTATTTTTAGTTTGCCAAGTACTGTGAGGGACACAAACAGGATGCTGTGAAGCAGGGCTCCCTCCCCCTGAAGGCATAATCAGAAAAATCCTCTCAGAAGAGGAAACTTTGAGCTGGGACAGCTTGGAGAACAGCAAGTGAAAGAGAGTTCCAGACAGAGGGAGCTGCGTGTGCAAAGGCCCTGGGGTGGAATGAAGCTTGATGGGTTCCCAGGGTAACAGGTACAAGATAAGTGAGGGGTAAGGGCCAAGATGAGGCTGGTGGAGCCCAGGTTAGGCAGGGCCCTGCAGGCCATGGTAAAAGGTGAGAACTTTATTCTAAGAGCAATGAGATGCTCTGGATGGGATCCTTCTGGCTTCTGTGTACAAAAAAGAGCTGGGCGTGGAATTTGGGGCAGAGGGCAGGCAGGAGTCAGGCAAGACTAAGCCCTCAGGACTGAATCCATAGCAGTGGGAGGAGGAGAATGTGCTAAGACTTTAAATGAGGGCCTGGGTTCTATTTAAGGGCACCTGGGGTCAAGAGGAAGAGGAAACAGAGCCTCACCCAGGCTTGGGCTCAGTGCCCACCTGGATGGAGGGCAGGTTTCACATCAGCACCTGCAAAGGGCTTTACACACATTCTTGCCCTGAGTGTTTACAGCACCTTGCAGGCTGGTGTCTGTGATGGTCCATTTCATAGAGGAGGAAACAGGCACAGAGAGGTCAGGTGTGTCTCAGGTGACTCAGCTTGTGGGTGGCTTGCATTTGCCCATATGCCATCCCGTCTTTCATGCTGTTGCATGCCCTTGGGTGTGAGGAAATGGGGGGAGGGGGAGAGACCAGTGCAATACAGCAAAGGAGAAGTCGCATGTCCCTACCTCCTGAGAATGTATAACAGCCCAAAGGGCAGAGATAAGCTCAGTGCAAGGGTCCCCTCTGTGAGGCAAAGCGTGAACTTGGGCCGGGTAGAGTACAGATGAAGGAAAGGGCACGGCCAGCCTGGAATCAGGGAAGACCCCAGAACTGGTAGTATCTGTGTTAGGCCTTGAAAATTGGGGAGGATTTAGACATAGGAGAGTAAGAGCTTGGGACCCACTTTAGGCAGGGGACTGCCTAGACAAGGCCAGCAGATTGGAAGGCCAGGATGGACTCCAGGGCTAACGAGTGGCCCCCCTGATTGGTGCATGCAGAGAGGAGCCAGGGCTGGCATGGCAGGGTTCAAGAGAGGCCTCAGAGATCCCTGAGGTAAGGAATCAACATGGGCTGGGTTTTCACGTGCTGAATGAGTGTCATGAGTGAGCAGTGAGTGGTGATGTCTACTGAAGAGAAGTCCCTCCTGGTTCTTTAGACTCTGAACTTTGTCTGGATTCATGGAATGCCAGAGTGGGAGGGTCCTGTGGGCTGGCGCCAGCTCACTGCTGCCTCAGGGCCTCAGCACATGCTATTCTCCCTCTGCCTTGTGCTCCCTAAGTCTCAACTCTCTAAGGCACACCCCCACCATTTTCTGTAGCCTAGCCCTCTGTTTTCATCTTACACTTGTTTGTTTTTGGTGTCTACTGGGACAGGGACCTGTCATTCACCACTGTATCACCAGTAAACATGCAGCACTCACTAGGCCCTTGGGAAATATTTGTTGATTGAATGACTAAATCAGACCAAAGTCCCCCACTTTAGAGATGGGCAGACTCAGTCTAGCAAGAAGTCATTTGCCCAGCCCATAGCCTGCCAGTGGCTGAGCTGAGGCAAGAACGCCTAGGTCGGGCCCTTTCTATTCCACCTCACCGCCTGGCAAGGACGGACCAAGAGGTCGCCCAGGTTACGTTCTGTATACACAGATTACATGACAGTGCCCTCCTTTTAACCATGGTCTTCACACCTTGGTGGCCCTGGAGGCTTTGGAGTCAGGCAAACCTCCAGGGGCCTCATGAAGTCAGACATGAATATCTACTGTGTGCCTCCTATATGCCAGCCCTGTCCCTGCATCCTCAGAGCTCCCACCAAAAAGAGGGCTCTGAGGAGAGGCCTGTGGGGCTGTGACTGCACAGAACAGGGGGCTGGGCAGACAGGGGTAGCGTTATGGAGATGAGATGTATAAAAACGAGTTAGCTCAGGCACCTGGGAGACCAGGAGAGCTCAGGCAGAGGGAGCAGATGTGCAAAGGCCCAGTGGCACTAGGGATCACAACAGGTAAAAGTTCTGCTTAGAGAGTGGCCTGGTGAGGCAGGATAAGGGGAGGTGTAGAGGGAGAGAGTGCCGGGGCAGCAGCCATTAAGGCATTGTCCTAAGAGATATGGGAACCAACCCACTGGAGGATTTTGTTTAGGGCTTACCTCTTCTGACTGGTGCTTTGGGGAGATCACTGCTGTTGTAATGAGAGTAGATTAGGGGACCTGAAAGGCTTTGGGCTAACTCCGGAACAGCACCTGCAGGATCTGGACAGGAGCCAATGACAGTGGCTCCAACGGGGGTGTCAGTGATAGGCACTATGCCAAGGGTCCGTGACCTCTCTGTATTTCCGTGCAGGGGACTTTGTACAGCTGCCTGTGCCCATCATCCAGCAGCTCTACCACTGGGACTGCGGCCTGGCCTGCTCCAAGATGGTGCTGCGGTGAGTGAGCAGGCCTAGGCGCTCCCCATCCACGCCACATGCTCTGGCTGGGGGGAGATACAGGGAGAGACTTGGGTGGGATTCATCATCCATGTGGATGTCCTTGGTTGGGTCATGTAAGAGGCCCAGCTTCCTTCCAGGCTCGGTCCCATCTGCAAAAGTAAGCAATGGGTGGACCAGGCCTTCCAGGTCTCAACTCTGGGAATGGTTGAGAGCTGTGGGTATGGCCAGGGAAGTCCCAAGTGCCCAGGCCTGGCCCACAGAGTGACTCCATGACTGAGACATAGTGCCTTCCATGTTTCTGGCCTCAGACTCCTGGGAGACTGGGTCACTGGGGAGCTGACCACTGAGCTGAGGCTGCACGAACATCACTGGAACCTTGACCATCAGAGCTTGGAGGAACCATGCCATCACCTTGTAGGAGAGTTTCTGGGTGGCCACCTGGAACCCTGGAGCAGTTTACTCATTTTATATCTTGGAATTCTAGGCAAGATAGGGTTAAACAAAAATTTCTCTGACTAAAACTTAGAAAATCACTAATGTGGTCTAAGCACTTCATCTTAGAGATGAAACTCGTGAGGCCAGAGAGGGCAGTGACTTGTCCAAAGTCACATAGCCTGCAAGAGATGCAAGAAGCAGAATCTAGGCTCTTGACTCCAGAGCCAGCGCAGTACCCAGGTGGCCTCAGGTTGTGTCCAGGCAGCATGTGGGCAGGACATAGGGTTTCATGACAAAGGACAATTTTTCTGGGGAGTGAGAGCTCTGCCAGTGGCTAATGGGCCCACGAGTGAAGGGTGACCCAGACCAGCTTCCCCTTGAGGGTAAGCTGACCTCCATGTCCTATCTGCCCACAGGTACCTAGGCCAGCTGGACGATGGGGAGTTTGAAGGTGCCCTGCAGGAGCTGCGACTGACCAGGAGCATTTGGACCATTGACCTGGCCTACCTGATGAGCCACTTTGGTGTGAGGCATCGCTTCTGTACCCAGACCCTGGGCGTTGACAAGGGCTACAAAAACCAGGTGAGTGGCCAGCCATCGGACCTTCACCAGGTCCAGATGTTGGAAGAGGATATGGTCAAGGCCTGGACACCTGAGTATGCACACAGGTGTGCAGAGACCAGGGAGTATAGCAGATGTGCTATGGGCAGGGCTTGAAGCTGGTCAGTCAGGTGACCTTGAGGTCCAACCTACCCAGAGGATCCGAATAGTACGTTGGGTCCCTCCTGGCACCCCGCCCCAGAGACCCCTGCCGCCTACCTTCGACAGCACTCGAGGATGTGCAGAGTGTCTCAGGGCCCTTCTTGTGCCCTTCCCTGCTGTCCCTCAGCACAAGGCAGGACCCAAGGCCTCCAAGCACTCTAACATCATCCAGCCATCATTTGCCCGTTTTCTTCCTTCTCACGAGAACAGCTGGCTTTAAGCTGGGTAATTGGTATTCTGGAAGATAAACCGAATAGTATCTTTTTTTTTCCTTTTGAGAAAGAATGCTGGCATAGCCTTGCCAACACACCAGTGCATTTTTCCTCCCTGCACAGCTAGAGACAGTCTTGCCTACCACTGCGGTAGATCTCAGCCCAGGCTCTGAGACGTGGCAGAGCAGAGTCACCACTGGCCTCTTTGGCAAGAAGGTTGTTGCATAGCGGCTGGGGACAGTCAGCCGAACTCTTTGAACCTTCCAGGTGGGAGAAGAAGGCTCTCACATCTGGCTTGGTCATCATGACTGCGAGGCAGAGAAAAGGGCCCAAGAACAGGATTACTTCTGCCTCCCACATCGGGGCTCTGGCCCTTAAGGTCCCCGCACCAAACATAGTATGTTTCACGGACCTCGCCTGGCTACGCCGGGAGGTGGCTGAGTGTTCTGGTGGGCTTAGCTGCCCCTTTGCTCGTTTATTCAGAATCCTCTCATGCCTACCGGGGGCACAAGCCCAGGGGTGACTTACCTTCCCTAGGGAACTGACCTGAGCCCAGCTGCCTACCCACCTGAGCATCCTCTTCATGCCTCTGTGTGGTCCCATGCACTCTGGCAAGCCACCCTGCCAGCTCAGGACAGGCAGCCTTCTGCCCACGTGCCACACGTGCCATCTCCTCCGGCAGGCCGGGCTCCTCCACTCTCCTGCTGTCTCTATTTCCATAACGTGCTCTTTGTCCATATGGGGAGAGGGCAGCCGGAGTGGGCAGCCCCTCCAGCCTGCTCTTTTCTCTTCAGTCCTTCTACAGGAAACACTTTGACACAGAGGAGACCCGGGTGAACCAGCTGTTTGCACAAGCCAAGTCTTGCAAGGTGCTGGTGGAGAAATGGTGAGCCTCCCCACATCCTTTCTTACACAACTGCTCACCCACAGACATGCATGTGGGAGGCCCCAGGATGGCGTATGGTGAGCTCCCCACATCCTTTCTTACACAACTTTTCACCTACAGACATGCATGTGAGAGGCCCCAGGATGGCGTATGATGGCTTGGGCCTCGGGAGTCAGGCAGAACTAGGGTTTCCTTGGTGGCCGTGGACACTGACTTGCCCCCCCACCCCGAGCCTTGGTTTTCCATCCATAAAATGGGAACCAGTGAGGCTATAGGAACTACTGTACACAAAGCTACGTGATCTTCAGCAGGGGCTGGAGGGACAGGTGGGCAAGACAGTCTCCAGCCAGTCCTTTGGCTGCTCACAGAATGGTGACATGGGACAAAACACAGAAACCCGAATGAAGGGGTGACAGCCTGAGGAACATGCTGGCACAGTGATGGAGGGTGACGGGGGATAGCCCAGTGTGTAGGCTGTCTAGGGAGGCCTGACTCCCAGATCTCCCCAAGGGCTGCTGTAACCTCACGGTCTCCCCTTCTCTATGTATGTGGGGGCAGAATTCAGGCAGACCCTGGGAGTAACTTGCTCGGATGCGAGTGACTTTCTTCCCTGGGCTCCCACTGTGGGCACCGCGCTCAGGCCTGTTGGCTCAGGTGCTGGCCAGGCTCCCCTGGACCACTCTTCTCGGTCTTGTTCTTTACAGATTTCTGTTTTCATTATTAACATAACGTAGCCCCACTATAGGTGATTTAGAAAACGGGGAAAGTCTCCACACATCCTTCCGCCACATGAGCACATGTTGGAGGGAAAGACAGCAGACGTTTATTTAGTGGCCCTTGACAGGTGCTGTCCCCATTCCTCAGCTGAGGAAACGGAGGAAGGGAAAAATGGTATGAGCCACTCATGGTCCCCTCCAGCAACTCGGCCACGTCGCGATCCCAACCTGACACTTCCACACGTGGTTATGCCATGCAGCCTGCTGCCTTTCCTTCCAGCCCAGCCCCTGCTTTTTTCCTGTAGCCGAAATCTCACTCTTGTACTCACCGTTGGGAATTCAGCCAGTTATTTTCATTTCAAAGACCAAATGGGAAAAGGACATGTTTAACCAGGCTGAGGCAACCAACCAAACTGCCACGTGACTTGGCTGTGGGCTGGAGTTGGGCCACCGCTGTTTAGGAGATTGCTAAGGAACGAGGGCCAGCAAAGGCGGTGGAGCCCCTTCTGGGTTCCTATTTGGACTTGCTGCCTTCTGGGGAATGTACCACATGGTGTGGCTGGCTCTGCTGGCCTGGAGGTTCCTCTGGAAGCGCTGCTCACCAGCCCTTCCTAGACAGCCACTTCTGCCACAAGCAGTCTTAGGAAAAAAAGACTAATAGGCTTTTCAGAGAAACATTTGGTTTTTGACACTGGCAATGCTGTGCTTGGCTCAGATTTGGGGGATTAAATGGAACTGACAGTTTCCAACATAAACCGTACATGATTTACCGTAAAGGACCAAGGGAGGCACTTGGCTAAAATAATTCACTTGCTAGTCTAGGAGGTGGAGTCCCATGTGCTGCTCCACTAGCCCTTGATGGGGGCCTGTCTGGAGCTGACCTTTTGCCACCCGGTGAAGTGTCTGACAGGGCCAGCTTGTCCTTGGGCACACTCAGAAACTTCCTCTACTGGCCCTGTGTTTGGCTCTGGGCTGTGTCTGGGCCACGGTAACAAAACAGGATGTTCCCACTTGCAAGGAGCTCAGGGTGGAGGGAAGACGAGCTGTGTCCCCAGGCTGTGTGACCCAGGGAAGAACAAGGGTCCAACCAGACCTCCACTAGAGAGATGGGGAGTGGGGCCCAGCAGCACCAGCTTACCCTCCTCCCACCCACAGCACGGTGAGTGTGCAGGACATCCAGATGCACCTGGCACAGGGCCACGTGGCCATCGTATTGGTGAACTCGGGGGTACTGCACTGTGACCTCTGCTCTAGCCCCGCCAAGTACTGCTGTTTCGCCCCCCGTGGCCACCGCTGCTTCTGCCGCACCCCCGATTACCAGGGCCACTTCATCGTGCTGCGTGGTTACAACCGGGCCACTAGCTCCATCTTCTACAACAATCCAGCATATGCTGACCGTGAGTGGAAGGCAGGGGCAGTGGGCGGGGTGGCTGCATACGTGGTCCCATACACCTGGCTCTCTCTACTCCTTCCCATTCAGCCTGATGGGGCCAAGACCTCCCTTGCTGCCTTCTCCTCAAAGTCCCTGCTCTTCCTGGGCTCCTGTCATCTGTGCCACCCCTCTGGCCATGCAGCAAACCAGCCACAAACCTGGGGCCATGCTGGCCTCCTCTATACTCCAGTTATCACCAGGCCCAGCCACCTCTCTCTTCCACCCCGCCAGCCCCATGCCACTGCCCAAGGCCCTGCCTCACCGTCTGCTGCTGTAAAGACTGCAGTTTCCTTCCCCCTCCTCTACTCCTGTCTCCCCAGGACAGCCAGCACACTCATCAGAAAGTCTGCCCAGTTGCAGCCCCTTCTCTAGACCCATCCAGGGCTCCCCACTGCCCTAGGGACGGGGACGGGCTGCCTTGACTCTCACAGACTTACTTGTGTTTCCTTGAGCAGGTTTCTTCCCCTCTCTGGGCCTTACTTTCTCTATCTGCTAAACTAGGGTGGGGTCAGGAACAAGCTCATAAAGGCCGCAGTAGGCAAGGACTTCCTGGGCTGGAAAACTTGTATGTTGAGGAGTGGCCAGTTAGGCGGGACATGGTCAGGTCTCTTCCAGTTCCTCCGGGGTGCCAGTGAGGTGGGTGTTCTCCCTCAAACCTCTGACCCTGCTCTCCACTCCTGCCCCCATCAGGAATGTGCAGCACCAGCATCAGTAACTTCGAGGAGGCCAGAACCAGCTACGGCACAGACGAGGACATCCTCTTTGTCTTCTTGGACAGCTGACAATGGGAACTCAATGTGCCCAGGCCCTTGGACCCCCCCCCACCCTGCCCCACCCAAGCCGGGCCTACTCAGGAAACCCTGGCCTAGGCCTGGAGTTGCTTGGGCTCAGATGCAGAGCTGTGGCATCAGCCCATGTGACAAAACACTGGGGAGCTCTGGAAGGCCATGGCACTCCTGCTTTATCCACCAGCGGTGAGTGTCATCATGTCACTTACCCAGCATGCCTGCTGGTTGCTCAAAGTGTCCCTAGAGCATCTGAGCAGCGCTTCCCCCAGGACCCCAAGCCTGACTCCAGCTGTGCCCAGGGGACATCCAGCCCCAGGGGTACCTTTGTTGCCTATGAGCCAGACCCTGGGTTGGGGGAGAGGCCTGAGCCCTCTCTCCACAGACCTGGGGCCCAAGCCCTTGAGAGATGTTGCTCATCAGGACAGCATCCGTGTGTTTGGAGACTGTAGCCAACACCGGCCTCGCTGGAATCTGTCCTCACCCTTCTCCTTGGAAATGCTGCAGAGCCCCCGGTGCCCTTTTGTGGATGCCGCTGCCCGCTGCAGCCTCCCAGTGGGCCCAAGTCCCTGCTGCTGGTTGCAAGGCCTCTGGCTCCTGGGAAGGGCTGGAACTCAGGCAGAAAGGACTCTGAGGCCCCTGCAGCCCTCCAGGTCTTCAGCTGTAAAGGGTGTGGGCAGGGCCCTGGTGAGTATGCTCAGGAAAGCTTGACCCAGAGGGCTAGGGACAGCTGCCTGGGCTCCAAAGATCCCCCCTTAGGCCTCCTGACACTAGCCTGAGTCCCGACAGTGGGGCCTGTCCTCCAAGTGTGGGGAGCCCCAAGTCTCACAGGGCTATGTGCTGGGGCATCAGGGCCTGCACTCCTGAAGCCGTGGCAGAGGCAGCCTGTGGCCTCCCACCCACCCTGGTGTTCACACCAGGACCTTTTGCACAGAATGTTGGATCTTTTCTGTCTTAACAGAGAAAGATGGTGCCTGCCCTGGATCACGCAGCACGGCATGGAGCGTGAACTAGAGCCGTTGCCTTCTTTTTTTTTTTTGGTGGTTGGTGGTGGTGGCATTTTTTTCTTTTTTGAAATTTAAGTTTTCACTTTTGGGGGTGAGAATCACCCTCAAATAAGACAGTAGTGAGATTGTAGGTACTTTGGAACCATTGACACCTCTAAATGGGGCAGAGAGGCCAGCCCAAGTTCTCTTTTAAAGAGAAGAGGACTCCCAGCTGGTGCACTGAGGGCCACGGCCCCTCACCTTACAGACCAAGTCCGGCCCAGTCTGAGGAGAGTTTGCCCAGGAGACTGGTGGAGCTGGGTCTGGAACCCAGGGTGCACCTAAAAAATAAAGGGATGCGAATCACTTCCAAAGGGGCTGGAGACACTCACACCTCATGTGCTGCCTCTGGTAAAGGAGCAAGGGTGTCCCAAGAGCTCCTCTGCCCGTGTCTTGGTCTTCCAGTATCCAAGGCACGATACGGTGGCAGCTGCTGCCCCACCGCTGGACTGCGGACCACCTTCCAGCTGGCCCCGGCCTCCAGCCAGCCCCTCCCCACCACGGCTGCTCCAAGGGGCAGAGGTGGGCTCTGCTTATGAAGGCTGTCAGACCACCCAGCCGTATGGCTCCTCAATACCAGATGCAGCCTTGGCAGAGAGGGAGGCACTATTAGCTGGGCAGCCACCTGGGGTGTGAGGCTAGTGTTGCCTTCAGACTGGTCTCATCTCCTTTGCCTTAATGCTGGGTGGCCCATGATTCCGGGGAGCTCTGGCTCCATGCCCAAGAGTGCCACATGTGGCAACCGTGGAGTTTGGGTGTCCTCAGGAGGGGTCCCGGTAAAATGGTGGTGAGAATAGATGCATCAAGGAAAACAGTGGGAGGAAGTGAAGCTTTCAGGACGGCTGAGTGTGAGTGAGGCGTGTGCACATGCTGGGGGCGCTGCCGCGGACAGCAGCCTCCACGAAGAATGGTCACTGCACCGCAGTCCGTCGTGCAACATTTAAAAACGCTCAGTCCCTGTGCCTGGAGGATGGCTTCTCAGGGCAAGCCTTGCGTTAGGAGTCATTCGTCTGGAAGATTAACACGAAAACTGCCTGCCCCTGAGATAGTGCCATCTTCCTGGGGAGGGTCATGGAGGCAGGATGCAAACCATGTTATATTGTGTAATGAAAAATCATGAACATGGGGCTGGAGAAAAAGCCCCATCAGGAACTTCTGCCTACATCACGTGGCGCCCACGACCCCCTGTCCACATGCTGGGGATCCAGCACAGTCCCCAAAGCCACTATGGACAATTGGCTTTGTTCAGTCTAGCCACATGGGGACAAAAGGGATCTTTTGCATTGCAGAGATTTTATACACAAATATATTTTGTTTTTAATGAGCCATTCTCAATAAATGTTATTCTCACTGCAAAATGATGCAGCCCCTGGCCTGCCTTTGTGAATTCTTACCTACCTTAGCACAAGTACGTGGGAGCCCAGGTCCTCAACTTGCCATACCAGGTTTTAGCTGGGACTGGGATACAGGTTTCTGCTTTTCCACCCTGCATCTCTCCTGACGTCCATGCCAGGCTTAGGCAGGCAATCCTGGAGGTGGAAGGGCCTCAAAGCTCAGCTTGACCGAGATTCTTGAAGAGGACATGGAGGACATACAGCCTTAAGCAGGAGGAGGGCTGGGGTAGGGGATGTCAGTTATGGTTGGCAGTGGGGCCCACAGGAGGGAATAGAGGGGACTCCGGCTCTCCTTGCACCTTCCACCCCAACCAGCAGCTCCCCTTATCAGCTAGCTATTGGGTCCTTCTAGTATTTCATTTGATAGGAATTCTACTGAAAAAGTGTTTGGAAATCCCGAATTATCTGGCATCTTCAAACTTTCCCAGGTCCCACAGGGAGGTGATGGAAGCAGAGCCAGCTTCTTGGGTAAGGTCCTGGTCTCTGGCCTATGCTCTCATCCTGACTGACTGCTGTTATGCCCCGCCCCGAGCCCCCCATGGTGGAGATATATTAGTAGGAGTTCTGACCGAGGCCTTAGACTCTCTCCAAAGTGGGGAGCTTTCCTGTAGACATCAGTCAGGGAGTTGGCCAGCAGGTGTTCTCCACATGCAGCCAACAGCATATGAACACAGGCAGTGAGTCTGGCCCTCTGTACTTCAGCACGAGCCTTCTGCCTACCCAAGGAGAAGGGGCTCCCCTCTGAATTTAGATCCCCAAAATTGAAGAAAACGTGTCAGTATGGTGTCAGTATGGTGTCCTTGCCACCTGATGAGAGGCGGGGGCTGGGCTGAAAACTTAGGAACTGCTGCCACACCACAAAACTGAAGTGAATGTACCCTTGTTTTATTGGCACAGAGCCACCTCGTTCTTCCAAATCCCTGCTCCCTCACTCACTCTCTACCCCAACCTCAGCTGCTTTAAGGAAAAATGAGGTCAGGGCTCGTGGCGGATCAAATGCCATATGTACTTGTCTGAGTATTCCGGGGAATTTTGGGGATGGCAAAGACTCAGACTTCTATGGCTCTGCTGGATAGGAGTTCTCAAGTCATCCTATCTGGTCCCCTGTGGGGAAGAGGGTTTCTGAAGTTTGGGCAAGTCTCACAACGGGGCAGAAAAAGCTAAGTACCTGCTTTGGCTGCATCCTATAAGTTTTGGTATGTTTTGGTTTTGTTTTCATTTGTCTCAAGATATTTTCTAATTTCCTTTGTGATTTTTTTGATCGTTGGTTGTTTAAGAATGTGTGGTTTAATTTTCACATATTTTTGAATTTTCTTTCTGCTACTGATTTCCAGTTTCATTCCAGTGTGATCAAAAAAGGTATTTTGGGACATGGTTCCATAGTGTAGTGTTTAGCATGTCTGCTTTACACATAAAAGGTTCTAGGTTCACACTCCAGTGGAACCACAGTCCATGGTCTACGGCCATGCCACCCTGAACAAGCCCAGTGTCTGATCTCAGAAGCTAAGCAGGGTCAGGCCTGGTTAGTACTTAGATGAGAGACCACCTAGGAAGACCAGGTGCTATAGGCATAAATAATAATAAATAAAGAAAAGGATATTTTGTATGATTTCAATCTTTTCAAATTTATTAATGTTTTGTGGCCTAACATACGATCTATCCTGGAGAATGCCTTTGCCTTTTTTTCTTGTCGGGCACACTGTAGTTCGGTCATCCTTCTTTCTCACCCCAGATTTTAACAATAAGCCATGGGCTGGCAAGAACATGTTGCCTGTAGAACTGGAAAGCTCCTGGAAAACCCAGCCACCTCTCATCTTAGAGGTAAGAAAACTGAGGCTCAGAGAGGTTAGAAGGCTTCACCCAAGAGCATACAGGGGCCCATGGGCCACAGATCCCGTACACTGGGGAGATGTGTGTGTGTGTGTGTGTGTGTGTGTGTGTGTGTGTATGTGTACACATACATATATATGTGAATACATACATATATACATATGTATGTGTATATGTGTGTATTCATACATATATGTATACACATATGTATACACACATATATGTATGTATATACACACATACATATAGATACAAAGAGATTCAGTACAAAGAATTTTCTTACATGATGATGGGGACTGGTTATTCAAGCCCCAAATCCATAGACAGGGTAGCCACCATGAAAGAAGGGCAAGCTGGAACTCTCAGGCACGGGCTGATAGCCTGCCCTATATGTAAATCTCTATTTTCACATCATACCCTGGACTACCTTTGCCTTCTTTACCACTGGAAATAGAGTCATTAGTGCTTTTAAATCCAATCAAATTAGAGAAGGATTCCAGAAAACCTAAAACCAATGCAGAAAATTCATCCTTAAGATTCCGTTTCTCTAGAACCACTTCTGGTTCCAGAATTTGGATCAGTCAGGGAAGCAGAAACAGTAGGATAGAAAGAGATTTATTGTAAGGAATTGACTTAACATGATTAGGGGAGCTATAGAGACAAGTCTGAAATCTGTAGGGCAGGCCACCAGAAAGAGCAAACTGGAACTCTTGGCATGGGCTCAGGCTGCTGTCCACGGGCAGAATTTCCTCTTCATTGGGAAAGCCTCGGCTTGGCTCATAGGGCTCTTTGGCTGATTGAATCGGGCCTACTGGGATTATCTAGGATAACCTCACTTGCTTAGTTAACTGATTATGGTCTTTAATCACATCTACAAAATAGCTTCACAGCAACACCCAGATTAATGTCTGATGGAATAAATGGAGACTGCCGTCTAGCCGGGTTGACACATCTGATGACTGTCACTCCTGTGCATGGCCATCCAGTGACTGCATCAGCCTCACCCTTTCCTGCTAGTGCACACACTCCCATGCTTACCCTCAAGTTGCTGACAGTTTAACTTCAACCTGCACAATCAGTGTCTAGGATATTTTTAATGGAGGAAAATTCACAGGACATAAAATTAACCATTTTAAAGTACACAATTCAGTGGCATTTAGTACATTCACAATTTATGTAACCATTGCCACTATCTAGTCCTAAACCATTTTCATTCACCCCAGAAGAGACCTTCGTACCCTCATTCTACCCTCATCATCTAGATATTTAAAAATTAATCTGGACAGCAACGTTATCAGGGCATCATCAGGGAGAACTTGGACTTATAAAGCCTGTTACACCTGCTGATCTGCTGGGGGCAGAGGTGCCCTCCGTGCTGGGCAGGGGCTGAAGGTCAGCTACTCTTTGACGATATTGGGGCTGTAGTTGGGTTTGACAGCTTCCGCAAGCTCCCGTGCGTACATCTCATATCTGCCTGTCATCTGAAAGAAGAACAGAGGTGCTTTAGAGGAGAGTTAGGTTGACTGTCCCCAATCTTTTTGGCACCAGGGACTGGCGCCCCTATGAAAATCTAATGCCTGATGTGACCTGGAGTGGAGCTGAGGTGGTGATGCTAGCGCTGGGGAGCATCTGCAAATACAGACGAAGCTTTGCTCACTCACCCCACCCCGGTCATCCCCTGCTGTGTGGCCCAGTTCCTAACCGGCGACTGACCAGTACCTGTCCACGGCTCCGGGGGGGTGAGGACCCCTGCTTTAGAGGTTCCCCGTTTATAAACAAACATTCCTCATTTACTCGCCATCACCACTTGCCACTAGAGGGCAGACATAGGACAGAAATGAGTCAGGAAGCCTGGACAACTTCAGACTAATACAGAGAAACAACCCTGTGTGACCTCTCAGCACTGATTTGGGGGCGGCTGTGGTAAAGATCATGGATGCCGAGATGACTCACACACCCCGGCCCCTCCTGCTGGAAGACCTTTGTGATCTGTTCTTCCAGAAGGTATGGTCTGCCCCAAGGCAAGAGGGA